CTTACATTTTCTTTTCACTCACTTACATCACTTTGACTACAAACAGCAGGCAATGAAAAGGGGAATTTTTTTACTTTCATGATTATTTTGGCGATTTGCTCGCACCTCAATCACGGTAATCAACAAATAAAGTACAGCCACAAACATAAATGGGCGATGAATGTCAACAAGCGCAGAAAGATATGAGGAACGCTGACAGCCGCATCCAATAGAGATAATCAGCGAACTCATAGAAAATGTTCCAGAAAATTAATTTTTGGTAAAGTGAAGTAAATAAGTTGACAAAACTAACAGTGCTTAGATAGCTGGTATCTAGAACTGCTTACGAGCCAATTACAACAACACACATACGTGAAGGTCAAAGTCGAGCGAGGAACGAATTCATTCAATTTGCCGATCGAAGCAACAGCTGATTTGTTGACAGATTAAAGGCTCTAAAGCGCCCACATACGCGCGTCAATCAGCAATTAATTAAACGGGAACAAACCACAAAAGTTACGACTCATGGCAGACAAATGCATAAATATTAAAGAAGCATAAATGAACTCTGCGACATGACCTAATGGGCACGTCAGCCAGAAATACACGAACACGTCGAACTGTGATACATTTATTAAACGATTAAAGAGCGCGCTATTAAATAACAGTTATCGCGGCAGCATGGCCCACACGCTGCAGTATGACGCAGAATTTTGTAGGTGAACTGACCAAGCTGCATGCCCATGCAAGAAGCACAGCGCCAGGAGTGTGTGTGTGTGTGCGTGTATGTGCGTGAATGAATGTGGGCGTATGTACCAGTAAACTACTCACATACATTCGACCGACGCAAAAATACTATATATGTGCACTACTTGCATGCACGAAGCGCCGCGTGACCAGCGCGCATGACAGTTGACCTTCAAAAGAAAATTCTGCAGCCATATTGGTTTTACTCCCAGCTGGCAGCTTCGCACTGCAGCTTGACGTGTCGCGTGAACTGTTGCTCGACACTACTGCTTGGCGGCGCCACAACGCCAGCTCGGCCTCACTGCGCCTTGCTGGCTGCTTGCGAGCGTTGCTGAGCGCCGGTGTTCACTTTGGTACGCCATGACGAAAACTACCATGGCGGCCACTGCGACTTCCGTCAGCCATTGTGCCTGGAAGTGATTTTCAAAAAGAGGAAAATGCAGAAATTCCGTTAAATGGAACAGCAATTTTCGGCACGACAGCGCCGACTGTCGTCGTTGCTGAGCGCCGGGTCGTGGCGCCACAATGCGCAACGCGCGCCTTCTAACCTCGAAAATCGATGACTTGCGCGTTGCACAGTGAGCACACAGTTGGGGATGCCGCAACAGCTGGTTGCTGTTATTGTTGCAGTGGAATTTTATGGTCGCGACAATGCGACACAGAGGGCCGCTGCTCGTTAGTTGCTGTCACTGCAGCTGCTGGTGCTCTTTGGGAAGGGCGTTTAAAATATTATTCTTGGTTTCACGAATACTCGGCTACCCTACGCAGTCGTTATGTGTACTTCAATTTTGCTCATGTAGTTTGCATTAGTGAACAAATCGTTAATGGCGAAAGAATCAATGAAGTTGCAAGCGTTGCACATAGGCAGCCAGGAGTCGGCAGGAGGTAGAATACATGTTGCGATGCAAAACTTTCATGTTTCGTGTGGCAACGATGGCAAATGCCGCGCGTTGTCGGAAAATGCATGCTGTGTTCGCAGTTTCAGGGCAAAGTAGAACATTATACTTCAGTCTAAAGCAAGTCTTCTTTTTATAAATAATTTAAGGGATCCGCAATGAGGCAAACTTTCGTTGAACCTTATTTGTTGGACCTTGAACAATTAATTTGTGAAAAAATACAGCTACCTGATAATTTTCATTAAATAAATGCAAAAATATCTCGTGTTGCAAGAGTCAATATATACAATTGATTAATTTTGACGGAAATTGGTGGTTCAGCTTTTGATGCTGGAACCAACTAACCTCAAAGAAGGCAAGGCAGTCAATAATAGTCGTAATGAAAATGCAGTTAACACGAAATCACAAATTCCAATATTTCTGCTCTGATGTAATTATAATGCGTTTGTGAGCAGGAAAATTAAAAAGCACTTAAGCCCAAGGCCGTCTGCCGCGCTACATGGAAACACGCGTAAAGCGCAACACAACTAGAGGAATCGGCCAACAAAGTGAGCAACAAGTGCCGAAGAGGCCGCTGTAATTAATCAACATTGATTATAGTATTTGTAACAAAAAGGCCAGCGGCTTCCGGTCGCATCTTAAGAAGTTGAAAATGGTTTCTCAACGAACAATTTTCACAAATATTGAAAAGACTGGGAAATTACGCTCAGCGTCAAGCAACAAATTCGAAAATATTCAATAAAAATTCTAGCACACCAATAAAGCAAGACTGTGGTGCCTTAAGCCAAAAGTAAAAATCATTTTTTATTAAACTAAAAAGAAAGGTGTTAAAAAGTAAGAATTGGGAAACTCCCACCAAGCTCAGAGCAGGATTGCACGCCACACGACTTTCCATACGGTAATAAATCAAAACTCTCAACCTTTAAGCGATGCACTTAGCACACACACATACATCCGAGCTTATTAGTACGAGCGCAGGAAAACTTCAAGCGAATGAATCTTCTAGCTGCTGCCGATTGTTTCTTTTGTTGGGCTTTGAAAGTGCGGCAGAACAAAGAACGGCCGAAACTGTTGGGTTTTCTCAGGGTCTCGCGCTAGGTGAAGTAACAATAAGCGTTTTTGAACTGCATTGAGGCTGTGCCGTGAACACAAACTGTGAGATCTTGACAGGCGTTTCGATCAGCTAAAATTAACAAGTGTAATGGTGTTACTTTTGGGAGCGGATAAACGAGCACAAATATAATCGGTAAACGCAATTAGCCCTCTCGAGAGTTATTTAGAAATAAAATTTATAAACTACATATTTATGACGTCTATGGAAATTAAACGTTGTTTGATAAAAAGCTAGAAGAAAGTGTTGCTGTTCGCGCGGAGTTGGCTTTATAACAACAAAATTTCGTGCTTGAGCATCAGACTTAATATCTCCTAAACCATTGGTGATCCAAGCTTATATTGAAGGCATATCCGCACTTGTACATGTATAGCATACACACACACACGCATTGATTTTTTCTATTTCCTCAAAGAAAAGAGAAAACCGTGGACGTTAATGCGACTTGTTTTTGGGCAGACATAATGAGCCCACCGAATTTCGTTTTTCCGGTTCACATTTTCGCATAAATTTCACAACAAACACATATCCACTGCACACGCATACACTCACACGCGCGCATAAAAATAATTACAATGAAATTGTAAAAACAAAAACAAAAAAACGTTTAAGCAGCTAATGAAGCTTCTATGCAATGCTGAAATTATAACACAAAAATGATGCACACCATCAAATCTATCGACAGCAACAATAACAACTAAGCAACTGAAATTACTAAAATCCACAAAGCGAAAGTGAAGGTTTTCTTGGCAGCCGAAGTACCTGCAGACCTGTAACTAGAAACGGTACTTACATACCTCAAATTTGTTGCTTTCATTTTCACTCGGAAAGTCAAAAACGGAAAATGCAGCTCCAATTAAACCGCCGACTAGCCAACAAGTAGCCAGCACACCTCAGAAGAAGCTAGTAAGATCGCTTCATAACTAACCTATGCTACTAAGCCGCTAGCCGCAGCGGTCCACAAACTCTAGCGTCCGTTAAGTCAACAATTGATAAGCGACAGGCAACAAGTGGCGCGAGCGTACAACAACAATCCGAGTGGTTAGCCAGCCGGTCAACCTTTAACCGGTACTCAAATTATCCAGCGGACAACAACAACAGCAATAGCAACCATAAATAGGAGATATATGCAGAACAACCAACCACAATGTATGAATAATATGTTCACACATGCGCGGCCAGTTGTCGGTGCGGTTGTTGTTGCTGTTGTTGTCACCATTGAACACGCTAGCTTAGGCCGCGCCGTGCAGGCTTACTTGTGCAACTGCAGTCTGGCGGATTAGCGGTGCTAAGCTGTCGCTGCCGCTTTTGCTGTCGCCGTTTCTAAATACAAACACACACACGTGTATGTGAGGAGCTGACGGTGTTTGCTGTTGTTGGTTTCTCTTTCGTACGGAGTATTTGTTTGCTTTGCTGAGTTGTCTGGGTCAGTAGTAACAATTTGTTGCTGCTTGACTTGTTGTTGTTGGCTTTTGGCATGCTGCTGCTTGTTCGCCCGTTGTTGGGGCGCTGAAGAAACTAATGACCTTAGCCACCAAAGTCCGGTCGCAGTGCGGCCAACACCGTTTCGTGTGCCCCCAACAAGCAAATGAATTTGGCACCCAAAACACACAAATCTACACACACACACACACACAGCGAAAAAAACCAAAAAAAGAAAAACGAATTGGGAGAAGTAAAAATTCCGAAAGACGGTGAAGCTGGCAGCTGGCAATTGGCATTGGTGTGTTATCAAAATTTCATGCATCACGCGGTGCCAGAAAACTCTCTCTTTTCAAGTCAGTCGCATCCAGCAATAAGGTGTCTTTCTAAATCAATACAACCACAACAACAACATCACGCTGAAAATGGGCGGTGATAGAAACAATAAAAAATATTGTTGACCCGTTATGGTGGAAAGTAAACGAATGAATATAAAAAGCATTCGTCATTAGATTCGAATGAGCTTTGACGGAATTTACAGAGCTTCTTTAATATTCTGCACTTAAAGGTGGATATGCACTACACCTTTATTCAATGTATTTTGTTTGGTTGGAATGACTTCGCCTTAAAAAAGTTTAGGTCTCGAGATCTAAGGTACCGCCAAGAAGCCTCTCAAAAATACGATCGGGCACATTTTCCGATTGACATTTTCTTAATTGTACTAAATTCTTAAAAATATTCAAGGCCACGAAATCACCGAACAGAATGATATAAATAAATAGAAGCTTATTTCCAGACTCAAAACACTTTGTCCGCTTCACCAAATATTATTAACTAATACTTACCATGCGTCTCCGTGACCGCCTCATGTTCTTCAGCAGCTTTTTTGTGCTGCTGCTGTTGCTGTATTTTCTGCTCCCTCTCTTTGCGTTCCTCATCGGACCACGAGCAATGCACTGCACCGTCGCGATGCAAGTTCAAATTCTCAATACCCTCTGGTATCTCCAGATCGTTGAAGATGTGCCTGTGCCCAGCAGCAGCCACCTGCCGATAGAGCACCATGAATTGGTACAGCAGCGCCCAGGCCTGCTCCTCGGACAGCGGTGATTTGAATGAATCCAAAATTTCCTTCAACGTCACACAGTTCTCCGGATTCGTGCAGAGACAAACGGGCGGTGGCATCGGCACCACTGCGTTTGTCGATCCCGTAGTGGCGTTTAGTGTGGTGCTACTGCTGCCATTGCATTTGCCATGAAGCGATTGCTCGCCCTGGTTACTGTCCGGCGACGTCGAAAGGAAGCCCTCCTCCGTGTCGGAGTTGATGGTGAGTATGGGCGCCAGCTTCTTATTTACTTCCAGCCCAGCATTTAGCTTCATGGTCACCGCATCGGTGTATGTCTCACCTAGGCGGCTATTCATACAGACACCACCACCGCCGCCACTGTCGTCCACCTTCTGGCTGTTCTTATTGGCGTTTTTGCTATTATTTTCTTCAGTCATAGCTGTGATATCGAAGCACTTTACTTTTGTTTCAAGTAATTATGTTTAGTTGGGTTTTACATATAAAGGGTGAATCGTCGTTCGTTCGATACGTAATCGCTGGGTCGCTCGATACGGTTCACTTTCGGAGCACACAAATTTTTTTCCTGTCCGCAGACACACATATATAATTTCTTAGCACAAAATTTTACACTAACACTTGTGGTCAGGTTTCTCACAAACATTTTATTTCAGCTTCAATGACATTCTCTAATTTCGGTGTAATCGTGGGTCTACTACGTCAGTCAGACCGCCCGACTTTGTATTTAAATGGGTTATTGCGGTTGTTGTTGTATTGCTTATGTCTATTGTTGTCGTATGATGGTCGATTTGGTATAGAATTTATGCACCGCTTCACGAATAAAAGAGAACAAACAAAAATTTTCACAAAAATCAGACACAAAATCAAATCGAGTTTGGAAATAAAAATGGAATTTTCGTAAAAAATATTTATGCAGTTATTTTTCTATTCACTGAACACAAAAAGCAATCGAAATTGTTTCCAAAAAAGTTACTACACAAAAACAGTGCGATGAAGTAGTTGCGCAAGGTTTGTAGTTGTTGTTGGTTTTAATGTAGTTAATAATTATACAATAGCCAGGTTGTCAATTTAGATTAGTTTTTCGGCTTTGCCGTTGCCTTGCTGTTGTTTTAGTGTTCTGCTTCCATTGGAATACTTATGAAGTCCGTTAGTTAGCGCATGATTCACGATGAGACGCGTGAATGACGCCAGCAAAGCCTCAAAGTCGTTATCTATTGCGAACGCCCCTAGTTAATAAAGGTTGGGTGCGCAGAAGTTTCAAATGCGAAATTTCGCAGCAGAAACTAAACGCTTTCTTGATTAAAAATATATAATTATCAGAATATTGGCGAGCAAAAAATCGCTAAATTGTGAAAATAAAATGTGAACAGAACAACAACTCTCAAAAAAATTTAAAATTTAATTATTTTGGACTTAAAATCAAAAATAACGAAATAAATGCAGGATTAAAAAATTTCGTAAAAACATAATTTTCATATAGGATAACTTTATGAATATAATTTACACAACAACGAACTTATATTTTCATTATTTAATTTTGCCATTAAATTTTCAGCTTTAAACTATTTTGCTTTAAATTTATCGATTTTCCTTGAGCATGTCCTTGTTGCGTTGCAATGTCCTTAAGAACGTGTTGAGGCTTGCATTGAGCTGTCAGTGCTTGGCGTCACTTTTGAGATTACCAGCGATAATGTTTAATGTTTGCAATGGAAACAGCAAGTGTCCGTTGTACGGCAACGAAAACCAACAACAAATAACAAACAAAGCGTTCACGCCACATATCCTGACAGCTGTGGCGACTGCACACTCATATCCGCAAACGAGCGGACACACGTACTCGAAGGTACATACATATATAGTATCCATGGGCAACCTTGAAGCGTTTGAGCTTGTCAATTTCACACTAAGCCACACACATTTTGCTTGCGCGTATTCGCAGCTATTTCACTTTTGTAATTTTAAACACTTTTTGTGAATTTAAATTCCCTTTACAATTTTTGCTCACATTTCGCACTCGCAACTTTAAATTTTAACGTACATAAATATGCGTGTGTGTGTTTGATTTGATTCACCGATTGCATAGACGCTTACTTTGAGACTTTCCTCGAACGTATGTACTTTCTATAATTAAATTCTGATTGGCCTTATCTCGAGCACAAATTTATTTATTTGTTATTTTCGCYTGATTTCTTCAACACTTCAATGAATCAATCCAATATCGCTTAGCGTTTCCGTAACACTTGTTTAATTCCACAATGACCGTTTGCTACTAACGTGCCTTCAGCGAGTTACTAGTCGAGCAGTGCGGCAAACGATTTGTGCGCTCGCAAAAGAGCGGCGCCGCGGAGCGTACGCGAGCGCAAAGCTAACGAAACTTGAGCAAGTCTCTCGGTCGTCTGGCCAACTCAACGAAGAATATGATGGCAGAGGCAGGTAAACAAATAATACTCGTATTTATGGTTTTGTTTTGATTCCGATATTCGAGCCGGTAGCGGCAGTAATTCGTTCAGGTACTGATTTGTTTTAAAGCGTGAGAGCGTACATTTAAATTGCTTAACGCTCGGAAAGGGAATGTCGCTAATATTAAATCGTAAACTTTTTTAACGCTTGAACGTCACATTTCTCGTGGCCATTTTCACAGATGGTGATGGGTCCAATATAAAATTGTTATGTTGTAAAATATGATTTTCTTCCGAACGCGAACCCGTCCCTCATTTTTTGAGATATCGATCTGAAATAATACGCACGTCCTTTTGTCAATAAAAAATGCTCATTTGTTGTAACCGTTGAAATCGGTACTTTGTAGGATATACTGTGGTTGCTATGTAAACTGACCGATCGAAATCCATTTCTTGTATAGGAAACTTATTTATTTGACAAGTTATCTCCACAAAGTTTGACATGGATTAATGTCTAAAGCTATGCCACTATTACTGCATAAAAAAGTTATAGCTTTATCAGTACAGTGTTTCTCCGGAAAGTATTAGTTGTAGGTTATCTCCGCCGCAAATGTACTTCGGAGCGTATGCGTAGAGAGTGTTCCTAGGCAACGAATGACGGCTGGTCAGTTGTCTCCGAGCACCTGGAGAGTCAGAACAAACATTTTCGCGCGACGTGTTTCTGTGAGTGGAGCAAGCCGGAAATGCAGCGTTCGTTAGAGCTGAAGTACGCGGTTAAATTCTGTGTGAAACTAGGTAAATCTGCCACAGATACATTTGATATGATCCAGCAGGCTTACCCAGATGTCGCTTTAGAAAGCCGCGGCACCAGGCTTTTATGGAGGGTAAGGAAGAAGTCGCTGATGAAAAAGGAAAGAATGAGCAAATCCAAAGTGAAAACGGTGCTCATTGTCGTTTTGACATCAAAAGTATCGTCCACCATGAATTTGTTCCTCCTGGACAAACCGACATCGCCAAGTTTTACGTAGAAGTCCTCAAGAGACTCAAACGACAACACCCTGGCTCACACCGCCTTTCTTGTGAACAGCTACCTAGCCAAGGCCGACATCCCAACGCTTCCGCAGCCGCCCTACTTCCCAGATGTGGCCCCTCAGGCCTTTTTTGCTTGTTTCCTTGCCTGAAAGGACCGATGAAAGGCAAGCATTTTGAGATGACAGAGGGGATCCAAGCAGCATACACCTCAGCTCTCAATGCTCTTCCGGAGAATACCTTCCGTGACGCCCTCAATGCTTGGATATCGCGAGAAGGAGACTATTTTGAAAGTTTTTAAAAAGTTCTAACGATTGGTGCAAACAATTTTTTTTTTAAAGCGACTCAGTCCTACAAGTATTATAATATCAATCAAAAATATATTTGTTCGTCGCGCATAGGAAACGTGCAAACATTTGAGAGAAAAAATTCAGAAAATTGTCGCACTAAAGTTGTCGTCTCATGTGATCTCAATGAACACCACCAAAACAATAGTTACCCGCCTGAACGCCGTCTTATTAAGCGATGACAAGGACTTTGAATATTCGGTCGCACAACAACAACTTTCAATATTCGAACGAAATTTCGAAAGGAAAGTCACATGTAATTTAATCGGTTGTGTAATCGCCGCATGTGGAGCTCAGGCCAGCACAGAGCTATATTTGGGGCAAGTATGTAATTATGTGTGTGTGTGTGTACTTATGTATATATAAATTAATCTTGTGTAAAGCACAGGAAGTTACTTTTATAGCTTAAACTGATTTCTTAAAGCTTAAAACGGTGAACTGCAGCGCACTTCCTTCTTTGGTTAATCAGCTTTGCCGCACACCTCTTATTATTCAAAGCCACTTCAGCACGGGCAATTATAGTTAATTGCTTGGCTTCGAATTCATTACAGTCAATAGATTCCCTGAAACTCATTAATTTTCTACTCCCCATCCCATACTTTCACCGCAACCCCAAGAACAACTTGTCATTCGAAATAAATCAGTAAACAATAAAGGACGTATCAAAACACAAGCAACGGCGATTGCCTCAAAGCCGCGTCAACAAGGGAACACTGCTGCTGATTGCAACAACCATGCAAGTACACAATATTAATTTCTAATGATGATGCATGATCGCCAGCGGTGGCACGTTAGCGAAGTTAAGTTAGCGAAAAAAATTAGCTATGAACAATGTGGCAAGCGCGTGTTGCACACGTTGCAAGTATTGCATTAGAGAAAAAAAAAATTGGTGGAAGAAGAGTTGAAGTGATGTATGAGTCGAAAGCGAAATTATCGACAACTGCCACATGCCACCATAGCGCCAATTGTGTCGCCGCTGTGCAACGCCAACAATGCCATCATCATCTCTGGGGAGACATTAGCAATTGCCGCTGATGATGCTGCTGCTGTTGGCGAAACACGGCGGCATGTTGCACGCTCGGCTGTCATTAAGCTATGCGCATTGCTGTTACCTTTTTTATTGATGTTGTTGTTGTAGCCGCTAGCGTCGTCAACTTATTATTAATTTATGCATTAGCCAACTGCACGTGCACGTCTAAGCGACAGCCCAAGTAGCGCCGTGACCAAAGCTCCCGAAGACGCACGACGAATGTCTGTTTTTGTTGTTTCTTCGTTTCTTCTGGTGCAGCCGATGGCACTGGCAGTGATGAAGAGCTAGTTAAGCGCAATCTCTATGAGGAAAGTTAAGTACCAACAGCTTGCACCAAAGTACATGTTGCACATACAAATACGGGAAATTGGGAATCTGCCACGCTTTACCGTTAATGAATAAATGGCGGCGCAGCTGATGACATAAAACGGTTTATTATTGGGAAAATAAAAATCTTGAAGCCTAAACAGAAAAGAGCATTTTGCAGAAGGCGCCTGGGGAGCCAAAGCTTTTTTCATCTTTTTGTAATTTCATAACTGATTTTTTTTTTTAATTACGGCATCTCTGGTACACTACGGTCTACACCAACAGTGACACTTAATGCCATATTAAACATAGCACAAGTGGACATTGCGGGCTGGTGTATTGCTGCGAAGTGCGCTCTAAGGCTCAAGAATGGTTGGGTTTACGAAGGGACGTGGTCTGCTTTTTCACGGAAGGGTCGAAACTAGTAGGGAAGGTAGGAGGGAAATTGTCTTTAAGAAGGTTTCAAAAGTAGTCAAGATTTTCTTCATCAGGTTCGTTTGGGTGCCTGGTCAATCGCTAGCAAATTGCCAATGAGCTAGCCCGAGAGGCATCTTTGTCGCGCTTACATCGGAATGGGACCGAGTTGGATCTCCATTGGCGTCTTACGTTCTAGCACTAGACCAATGACGAGGACTGTAAAACCCCACTTCGCTCAAAATGCTCAAAACTTCACCGGATAACGCAGTGCTTAAAATTCAGAGAATAAGGCAACGCACATTGGTAAACGAAACCGAAATTAGTCTGCAACAGCGGTAAGCGAGAGCTCGGCTCCGTAACACAAGTGCAGCGATGCGCAACGCTGCCACGAATTGGGGCGAATGAACGAACCCAAAATCAACACAGAAACAACAACAAACCAGACAAAGACCGATTTAACTTTTGGAATCATTTGTTGAGCCCTAACAGCGGCTCCGTTTTGT